TTTCCTTACTGGAAATACCAGAGATATTTCAACGGTGAAACTATACGTAAGACATTTCTCGCTAAAAAATGAAAATTTGATCAAAATATAAGCAAAATACAAGTTTTTTACCATACTAAGCAATATAAAAGAAAATTATTTCTTTTCGAAAGCTTACATCACACTGCTTAGTCACTCTCTAGTATGTGTTTATCAGTATAGAATGACAAGATAGAGAAAACAGTATATGTTTGCGATAATTCTCTCGATCATTTTTTTTCTTTTTCTGTTTGATATGCACTTGCTTTATGTTATAGATAGTATATCAAGTTACAATGCCAACAGGTCATGAGTTTTCACAAAAAGTGAAACAACTAATGTTTCATGTGATTGATTTCGTTGAAAGTGAGAAGAATGGCTCAATCATTCCTCTTTATAACGTGAAAGATCGTCTTGTTAAAATGTTAAATATATCGGAAAGATCGGTGTACAGATTAACGCATGAATTACACCATTCAAGATATAAAGAAATAAACAAAATATCACAAGAACGAAAAGAGATGGAAGAGAAAAGCAAAGAAGAGACAAGTGTAAAAAGTCTTCGTAGTCGTACTATTGTATATTCAACACTCAAACGACAGCAATATTCAACATCGAATACACCAGCTAAAATCCTTTGTCGTCGACATACTGCATCTTCTGCCTATCCATCAACAAATCATATCGATCATCTTGTTCCTCAAGCATTATTTCCTGAGAAAAAAAGTAAGATTTTTTTCTATGAATAGTTTGAAAGTTATCTCGTCTGGTTTTAGTGCATTCTGGACGGCCGAATATTGTTTTATCAGAGCAAGGAAAAGACTTAATTCGACTTGAATTTCATAAACTTGTTCAAGAAAAAGTGTATCCAACTTCGGAAAAACTGCTGAAAAGATTGACAGAGCAATATGAAGATTTTCCGATTCATTCGACAAGTACGTTATGTAAAAAAATGAAAAACGTAAGTGAAATGTTATTCTCACGTAGATGAGAAAGTGAAGAAAAACACTGCATGGCTTTTTACTATTTTTTAGCTTGGTTTTGTATATCAACGAACATCAAAGATAAAAATTGCACTGGATTCACAAGCCTTTGTTGCGGCAAGAGCGAAATATTTCCAGATTCTTGATGAGTTCAGAGAAGATAACGTTCACTTATACTATCATGATGAAACTTGGATAAATCTTCGAGAAGTGAAACGATCTATTTGGACACTGAATGGCGAAGGGGAAATCAAAAAAGATGGAGGAAAAGGTAAACCATGACGTCACTCGTAAATAATTCTTCTACATGTCATTTTTTTTCTTGTTTACAGGGTCTCGTCTGGCAGTATCAGCAATTATAGACGTGAATGGTTATCATATTCCATCAGTCGATATTTGGACATATACCGAGGATCACAATATGGATTCATCTCATTTTCTCATGTGGTTAGATTCAACTTGCGCAACGTTAAGAGAAGAGACTGGTAAGCTGATGCACTTTGAGTCGTGTTTTTCACTAATGATCTCTAATACTTTCTTCTTAGGAGAAAAAAAACGAATTGCTATTTGTCTAGACAACGCGACGTGGCACAACAAACTCACAGAAGAATCAATTATTCCGAAACGGGCTTCAACAAAGGCAGAGATTCAACAATGGTTGAAAGATAGAAAAATTCATTTTCCGGAAAAATTCATTAAAGCTCAATTGTTAGAACTAGTGGGTGCTAATTGTCCACCGAAAGAATATATTGTAAGTCATTTTTAAGTGCTATTCGACCTATATTATTCTTCACTATTTCGTTGAATAGAGTGATCAAATTGGAAAGAAATATGATATAGAAATATTTCGTCTTCCAAAACTACACTGTAGTCTCAATCCTATTGAACTGTCATGGAATAATCTCAAGCAATTCGTTCGTGATCAAAACACAACGTTTCGTCAGCATGATGTAAAACAACTGATTGAGCAGTTTATGGTAGCGATGGACGATAAACGTGCAACTTCGTATTTTCATCATGTTCATGGAATTGAAGAAATGTACAAAACTGCGGATGCAATTATGGAGGAAGATATTGAACCACAGTTGCGATCTGATAGTGAAGAAACAGATTCAGATGATGAGTAGTAAAACACAGAATAAAAGTTCTTTTTCTATTCATAATTAATTAGTTTAGTCCAATACGTTTTTGTTTAAGGATAACAGAATCTCAATTGGTGTAAAAGATTTTCACAAAATCTAAAGATTATAAGCTTAAGTAAACTGAAAGAAGAATGCTTTTTTGGAAATGATCTTAAAGATCAGTATTCTTACAGCTCTGCACTCATGATCTGAACGTAAAAATACGACACAGTACATAGAATGAATACTTTCATACCGCTTAGTATGGTAAAAAACTTGTATTTTGCTTATATTTTGATCAAATTTTCATTTTTTAGCGAGAAATGTCTTACGTATAGTTTCACCGTTGAAATATCTCTGGTATTTCCAGTAAGGAAAGTGAGAAAATTCCTTCGATATCAGTGTGCAGTGGGCATGTCGGGGTACCAATATCATTAAAAACAAGTCCTAAAAAAGATTCGCTAATACATGCTAAATTTCGTCGGCGAAAATCTACTTGACAAAATACTTTGAATGACGACTCTCCCACATAGGTATCTGCCCCCGACCCTCCTCTACTGAATGGTGAAAACCGCAGTTCGAAATAACTTTTCAATCAAAAGTTATACAACTTTCTTCCACCTGCCTTTTCTTTTATTTCGATAGTAGTATGGCAGGACGGAAATCATCATAAGCTACTTACCAAAGAATCTCTCGTTATACAAGCTTATCAGCCACAGCTCAACCGCACAACACATTCCAGTCCAATCTACATCTTTCCCGAAGGTCTCCCACAAACTTTAATTCCTAATCCTCAGACTAATCATTAAAACCAAACAAGTATCACACAAACTCCACCGATTAACCCTTTGGTTACGGGAGGCCCATATGTGGGCATTGAACTTTTGTAGGTATTATCTTCAATATAGCGTCATTTAGACTTTATCAAAAGAACTACTATTTCTTCCTCTTATTCTAACAAAAGTATTACGTCACTATTGCGTATTATCTTCCACATATACTCTGTCTCCTGCGTTCTTGCACACTGACTTTTGACATTCTATCACATTCTAGTAAATTCTGATGTATTTTATTTCTTTTTTCTCTAAAGAACCGCTCTCATATAAATAAAGTTTCGATTCTATACTGGAAACTTTGTCTAGTTTGGATATATATTCTTGCAGAATTGAAACCCTCATTATCCAACACAACGTTTCATATAAACAGTTATTATTTATATCCATTACACAAAAATTTTCTCTGGATATGGCAACGTGCACACCGAACGATCCCCATGAAATTCAAATGGATAGCGAATCTGAAGGCGATTCTACTATGGAAATTTATGCAGTTTCTTCATCAGATATGGATAGTAGTGAATCGGATGATGAAACAGAATCATCGAAACAACAATCTACTAATCGAATTTGGAAGAAAACTGCATGCAAACCACATCTCTTCTCCTTTGATGAAACAAATATTGGTTTTTCACCGAAAATAGACGCTATGAAAGATCCTACACCTCTTGATGTTTTTCAATTATTGTTCGATGAAAAAATGATTGATCTGATTGTTGAAGAAACCAACAAGTACCAGGTTTTTCCTAACAAAAATGCAACACCCTCAACAGATTCACATCAAGCAAAATGGACAGAAACAAATCACTCTGAAATATATACTTTCCTGGCTACAGTTATGCTTATGTCTGTAACTAAAAAGAATAAGATTCTTGATTACTGGTCAACTGATCCACTGATTAGTACACCAATGTTTAGTCAATTATTTTCTAGAGACAGATTTCTGATGCTTTTGAAATACTTACATTTCAACGATGAATTAACTAAAATAGACGATGACAAATTATATAAAGTCAAACCAATCATCGATGATTTGCGGACAAAATTCAAATCGCTTGTTATTCCGAACAAAAACTTATGCATCGATGAATCACTCATTCTTTGGAAAGGACGATTGGGATTCAAACAGTACATACCGAGTAAACGGCGTCGCTTTGGCATAAAAGTACTCATGATTTGCGACTGTCAAACAGGGATAGTGTTGGATTTCATCGTATACACTGGTTCATCTACGGATATTGATCTAGACCAATCTTTGGGAAAATCTGGTTCCATAGTAATGACTTTGATGAAACCCTATTTGAGTAAAGGACATTCACTTTTTGTCGACAACTGGTATACCACTCCTCGTTTATTTGAAAAATTATATGAACTCAAAACCGGTGCATGTGGTACTGTACGCCGAAACCGTATTGGTTCAGTCAAACTTGACAAGCTCACAAAAGGTGATTTCGACTACACTAATAGCCATAATCTAATGGTTCTGAAGTGGCAAGATAAACGAGAAGTCTTTATGCTATGCACAATTCACAGGCCAAGGATGATACAAACGCGAAAAAGTGATTGGAAGACACAAAAAATAGTCGAGAAACCGGAATGTATCGTACATTACAACAAAAACATGGGGTCAGTTGATAAAACTGACATGCAACTCAGTTTCGTAGAGTGCTTACGAAAAACCATCAAATGGTATAAAAAGTTCTTCTTTCATCTACTTGATTTATCAACATTCAACGCATATATGTTATTCAAAATGAAGCATAAAAAGTCTATTCATTTTGGAGATTTTCGATGCGAACTTATTCGACAATTGATCGAAAGGTATTCTCAACCGAAACCTATAGGTGGTCGTCCTGTTACCAGTGATAATCCTGTACGCCTTACTGGACGCCATTTCCCATCACTTGTTCCAGCAACAACAACACAAAAATGTCCACGAAGAGACTGTATAGTTTGCAGTCATACAAGCAGACGTGAGAAGAAGCGTAAAAAAACACGTTATCAATGTGATATATGTGATGTTGGACTTTGTGTGATAGATTGTTTTGGAGATTATCATACTTTAAAACATTTTTGAGTATTTTTTTATACTACTAGAACTCATTATAAACTATTTCTGAAAGAAAAAAAAAGATGCATCTGCAAAAAAAAACCCGTAACCAAAGGGTTAAACTGTACTTCTCAATACTATGATGATGCTATCATATAATCATTTCTCGTCAGTACATACCATATACGGTTTTTTCTACTAATTTCTTTAATGTCTTCTCGAACCTCATTCAGTATATAATAGATTTGTCTTGTTGACGATAAACGTCCTTCTTAATTGCCTTCTCCAAATAATCTATCTTCCTATGATACTAGAAATATAATAACTATTTTCGGAAAGAAGAATGCTATCTTCTTTATGTTTATACATCGCAGAGAAAAAATCGTTTTGTTCGAGCGACGTAAGTCTTATATAGATATCAATGATGTATTATGACTTGATGAAAGAGATGCTCTCAAAAAAATGCGTTTCAATATCGTTTACTTTATCTTTATTAATAAGAAAATTTTTTCTAGATCAATTTGATAGAAGCTATATGATTCTCATTATGTTCGTTACCATTATTGGTCTTCTATTAACGATAAATTCTCATGTATTATCAGTAGATGAAGTAAGTACGAAAGAATTATATTATATTAGCAATCTATACTAATCGATTAGAAAGAAAATTTTCTATTACTATAAAATTCTTGTTTTAATTCAGATTCCTAGAAATGAAAGGAATGACTATGGAATGCTATCAATTAATCGAGCACGATTAATTAGCACTATTTTCGAAGCACCATTTATGATGCTGAAACACAATCACAATGAAACATTTTCGGAACAAACTATCGCTCAAGGAACAGTCCTTGATCCATCAATGGTCGAAGGTTATTGTGCGGATTTAGCATATACAATATGTCATGAAAGATTGAACATTTCCTATAAATTTCTCATCGAGACTAAATATGGTCATCGAGCTACCAATGGAGTATGGACTGGTATAATGGGTGCATTGATAAACCACAAAGCTGATTTAGCAATAGCACCACTTATCGTTAATACTGCACGTGAGAAATTAGTAGACTTTACTGTGCCGTTTATGACCTCTGACATGTCGATGATAATGTTAAAGCCTGCCAAACAAAAACCGGTAATATTATTTTTTCAAGTTACAACTAAATTTATCATATTTTTAATTTTTGAAAATAGGACTTATTCTTCTTCTTATTTCCAATGTCTAAAACAGTATGGTTTTGTGTTCTTCTTTCTTATATTCTTGTTAGTATTATCTTATTATTTATTAATCGAATTATAAATTATGAATATTATCCTCAAAACAACTATGATACATTGTCCATGTGCACTGCTCTTTGTTTTCCATTGACTTATTTGATGCATTGGAATATCTCTCGCTCAACTGCAGGTATTAGCATCTACATATATTCAGTATTTTTTTTTTGACATAGTTCGTATTATTTCCTAGGCCGTGTTGCTATTAGTGCTTGGTGGTTATTTTGTCTAATTTTCTTCGCAATATATATTGCTAGTTTGATCGCATTATATCCTTTTTCATCAAGAATGATATCACCTATAGAATCGCTAGAAGATCTTTCGAAACAAATAACAATTCGATACGGAATATTAAAAGATAGTTCAACCATGAATTTTTTCAGTAAGTCAAATAATGATATTATTCAAAATATGTGGAATTTCATGCAAAAGCACAAAGACGATGCTTTCGTAACATCATACCGTGTCGGAATTGAAAAAGTACGACAGTCAAAAGGTACATTTAATTATATAAAAATTGTTATTTATATTTAAAGTCTTAAACTTTCTAGGAAGATATATCTTTCTTGCAGAATCTACATTTAGTGAATATATTAGTGAACGTCTTCCTTGTGATATAATGACTATTCGTGTGGATATTAATTCGAAAGAATATAGTATCGTAACACCATTAAAATCTGACCTACGTAAAGCAATTAATGTTGCCACACTCGAACTTCATGAGAACGGTTTTCTTAAACGACTCAAACAGAAATGGTTCTATGAAAGATCCGAATGTACGAATTTACAAACAAAAAATGATTTAAGATCAATGATGCAATTAAATTCATCTAATATGGCGGGTGTCTTTTATGTATTGATTTTTGGTCTCGGCCTTGCTATAATTATTGCATTTTTCGAGTTTTTATCTACAGCAAAGCATGATTCAATTCGTTTAAAACAAAATTTAGGCAAAGTGATGTGTGACAATCTACGTAACTCGATTAAAAGTGGAAATATAAAGCAAAATACAAATTCATCAAATATGCCAGATGTAATGGAAGCATCGAAAAACAACAAAGAGATACTCATCGACGAGGATCGCACGTTAGTTGTTACATAAAAAAAAACTAACAATAATCTATCTTATTTTCTCTGTCACAGTTTGAGTCATACCTTTTTTTCTTCATCCTAAATCCTGTGTTCGCCTTTCTCGATATTTTTATATTTTCCGCGTCATTATCAGCGTGACCCTTGTAGTTGTGATTATATGATGAAAAAACTTTGATACTCATACACAATTTTAAAATGCTTTCAAACGCTTATATATTAACTTTTTCCTCTTGGTCATAATTTGTTAACGACTGATGAGGTTGTTATCCCCTCATCTATCGTACGAGTCTTACTTTATGAGATGCGCGCCGTTATCCTGTAGCTACACATATACGAGCAACAGTAATCTGGTCTAAGGAATCACACATCTTATTGAACTGTATAGTGGTCTACTGATTATTTTACGCGCGGTGGGTGCAGTTACTGTTCAAATATTTCGAGGTCCACCACGAAGAATCAACCCGATCGATGACTGATTCTGCACTAATAACTTGAACGATTACAGAGATTGCAAAAGTTTTCTTTTATCAAGTAAAGATCACAGAATTATAATCTACCACAAAATATCTTTGAGGGTGAGGATGCGAGAATGAATACATCGGTGTTCTTTTGATCCACATCCACACCTAAGCTTGTATCATTAACATAAATGTGTAATATCAGCCATTCTAGAGATATTTTTTGAAAATCTTTATATCTTTAAAATCGTCGATCATATCGCAAGTAAGAAAGGATTATTTTCTCAAGATAACCATGAATCACAGCTTATCCAAAGAAAACACTAGCAAAAAATCGCCACTATCAACGAATTTATCGAAATCTTGTCACTTTTGATAGTCATATTTTCAGTCTAAAAAATCATTTAAAAGGTTACAGAAAGCTGTTTTGTACTTAAAAAAGTATACAACCAAGAACCTAGGTTGAGCATTACGGAGATCGTAAACAGCAATATTACGACTGTTAACATCGCCGTTTATGATAGTACCACAACCTGACTAAAAGGATTTCATAGGATTTCTCTAGGACTACATTATGTCTCCACTGAAACTAGACAAGAGACTAGGACATACACTAGAAGAAACACAAAGTAGGCACCTCTATATTTACTCCCGCTTGGGATCCTTTCATTGGGGCAAATTATTCCCTCGACTGTAGGGTGTGGGTGAGGGTGTGGGGTGAAACTATGGGTTGATGTATGGGCGTGGGTGGCCGTTAATTGGTTCTTTTTTGGGGTGGGTGTCTGGACGTAGGTGACTGGAATCGATGGTCGGTAGATATGTTCCCTTAGTTGAGGACTTTATGTAGGTGAGGTGTTCAGTTCTTGTCGGTTTGTGTATAATAGAATATGAAGCGGCGGGAGGTTTGGAATGGCTAGGTGTTCTAAGTTTTATGCAACTGCAACTGATCTTAGGAGTAATAAAAGAACGACGGATAAATAATCATATGTATTACCGTAGCTAAATGCACTGAAGGCGAAAGATAGAGATTTCAAAAGATACGTTCGTTGGAGTCAGACGTGTCAAATGTAAGCCTAATTCATTGAGTTAAACCTGTTCAATATATGGAAATTTGACAAAGACAAAGAAAGAAAACTGACAGGAGTATGTGATGATTGTTGTTGGTGTTCGTAGTAAATTTGTATTAATGGTAATAGTATTCTTTTGTAGTTGAGTGTTTGTTCCAGTTGGACTCATACATGGGAGTTAGAGATGCTTTTTCGCGGAGTTACCTATTTCTGGATGGAATGGCGATTGGTCTTGTGGTAGTGAAGTTGATGGGCAGAAGTATGTAGATGAGGATGAGGATGCCTGTAAAGTGGGATTGACCTAGGGCACACTAAGATTGCTGTTTGATATTCTATATTTTTGACTCTTGCGTATGCTTCGTGACGCATTTGATTTGTTGTGTGTGGTTGTGATGTTGTCCGATTGAAGTGGTCCTAATGCTTATTGTTAGGGTTGTATATCCTTTGATCGAGTTCGAATATACACCTAAACTGTTTATGCGCGTTCCACGAAAACAATACAAATCTCCTCATCGAATAGAAAAAACGATACGTGCAAATGTATATGAAAAGATAACGCGAGAATGTATAAAGGAATGAAGAAAGGAAAAGAATGCATAAATGAATATGAGTGGGAATAATAGAGGAACGTGTAAACAAACATGAGCAAAAGAAAAGATGAGTGGAGGCGGATATATTAGGTTGTCCCGAAAGTTCGTGCAACTACTGTTTTGCTGCAAGGTTGAAAGATATGGTTTCGA